AATGGGTAAGGATTACAATTAGAAGGGGAAAAAATTCTTCAGAGTTGGTAGTTTCTAACCTAAGTTAATATCGAAGTTAGTATCTAACGAGCCTAAGTTAGATACTAACTGAAGCTTCATCTCACATACTTTGGACATGTTATTAGGAGAGGCTAGTCCTTGGAAGGAGACATCATACTTCAAAAGGCAGATGACCATCAGGAAAAGAGAGGGTGCTTGCTCCTCAAAGAGATGGATTGACACACTGACTGTAGGAATGGACTCATGTGTGCCAGAGACTATGAGGACGGCAGAGGACAGGGCAATTGTTCTTGGGGTCACTGAATTGTACTCAACTTGATGGCACCTAACAACAACAATAACAATAATAAGCTATTCTACATTGGTCTGCATAGGTGGAAAAGAAAATATCTGTGAATGGATTTAGTATTAAATGGCATCATAAAGAAGAAGAAAAAAGGTTAAGTGCTACCAGTAGCTGAAAGGTTGGTGGTTCAAATCCACCTGGGGGTGTTGCAGATGAAAGGCCTGGCGATCCATTTCCTGGGGGTGTAGCACTGTTTGAATTGAAGAAACCTGGAGGGGACAGTTGGGTCCTTGTAAAACCCCCTACTAACCAGTTTTACCGAATCAACCTGGGTTTTGCTTTCCAACTTCCTAATTCTGGAAATCTTTTCTTCTTTCATTTAAAAATGTACTTTAGCTCCTTGGTTCTTTGTACGTTTGCAGGAAGCGCATCTTGCATTTCTTTTAGCATTCTTAATCCCTGCTTGGGCCTCTGTCCTCGTTTCTCTCACCCCAGCACTCAATTATATTTTCATTATTTCACTCATGCATCCAGTAAATATTTACTGGGCATCTTTATGTATCAAGTGCTGTCTCAGGTGCTGGCAGCAGAGCTGTAAACAAGACCTGTGCCAGTTGCATGAGAAGTTTGGCAAATTCCTTTGGAGACGGAATCTTTTTTTAAAAATGTGGTTGTCATCCAATACATAAATATAGTCCGCCCATCAGGAGAAGATTCCTTTTGTTCTGCCTGCAAACCACATAAACACTAAACAAGGCTTTTGTAGAGAGGTAAAAATAGAAACCACTTCAAGGAGGCTCGGGTACAGCTAATCCACCTAGGGATGACGAGGAAGAAAGAGCTGGCAGTCTGCTCCCATAAAGATTGTTACTGTTTGTTGTTGCCTCATCTTTGATTTATAGCGACCTCAGGAGACAGAGGAGGACTGCCTTGGAGGGTTTTCTTATCTTTACAGAAGCAGAACTGCTGAGTGGGTTCAAACCGCCAAACTTCAGGTTAACAGCTAAGTGCTTAACTGTTGTGCCATCAGGGTTCCTTTCATAAAGATTTCTGAACCAAAACCAATCCCCATCCCCGCTGTCAAATGTGATTCTGTTCATAACACCCTTTTAGCAGGTTTCTGAGGAGATCCATCCTCCCT